TGGGCTCGATCCCGACACCTCAACCTCGCTGGATCACTAGCCTGGCCGCCTTAGCCAGCTCGCCCACCGTGCCCCCTTATAACTATGTTATAACAGAACACAATTACCATACCTAACTAACCACTAGATATTTCCAGTTGTATGGTAGCGGAAATCCGTTTTTATTTGTAGAAAATAATCAAATGTAATTGTCTACACAGCTGCAATGTAGGGGGAAAGTCGGCCTACGCGGTAGTTTTCAATTGAACTTCCTGTATTAACTAATTTCTGGAAAACTGATTGGGTATGTGGCAATTTCCATTTGCAAATGTATAGAAAACCCTCCCTGTTGTGGTAGCCTAGTGGTAAAAGCACTGGTTCGCTAGCCGATGGTTCCAGCTTATACCCACATGGGAAAATGTGTGAAGACCCTTTCTGGTGTTCCCAACCCTGATACTTCAAAAATATTGTTGGAATATTGCTGAAAGCTCACTCACTCACTCACTCACTCACTCACTCACTCACTCCACAGGATGAGGTTTTCCGAACTAACATATTTTGGTACAATCCTTTATCAATTAGCTGTACCTAGTTCTACTACTTCACCGAAAATCTGTACACCAACATTTTATTTTAGATGGCTAGTTCTCTTCAGTTCTAGCTGGTGCTGCAAGCCAAATATTTTTGTTTTGAAAACTTGACACTTGGTGTTCTTAAGAAAAATAAACAAAACTGGGTAATAATTAAATAAAAATGTGTGCTGTTATATTGCACTAACTTCCATACACAAGGTGTATGCTCAAAACACACACATTATTCCAAGCTGCCTGTGATGTGCTAGAAGTTATATGATCATCTCATCCCACCAGGTACCCATTCACTGCTGGGTCAACAGAGGCAATTTTTAACAAAGTCACTTGCCTAAGTTGAGACCATTTGTGTTACACATCCTTTATTGTAGGACAGGAATGAAGTCCTAGAAACTCTCAGGAGTCAAGTTCCAAACATGCATGGTCATTGTCATGGGGGCGGTGGGGTAGCCTATTTGTTAAAGCATCAGCTCGTCATGCTGAAGACCCAGGTTTGATTCCCTACACAGGTACAATATGTGAAGCCCATTTCTGGTGTCCCATGCCGTGATATTGCTGGAACATTGCTATAAGCAGCGTAAAACCAAACTCACTCGCTCACTCATTGTCATGGTCACCAATGTTGCTCAACTTCAACTGATTTGTGACCTGTGTTCTTTGCACAGGACCATGCACCACCAATAATTGAGTGAGTGAGTGAGTTTGGTTTTACGCCGCTTTTAGCAATATTCCAACAATATCACGGCGGGGGACACCATAAATGGGCTTCACACATTGTGCCCATGTGGGGATTCGAACCTGGGTTGTCAGCATGACGAGCCGACGCTTTAACAATTAGGCTACCCCACCGCCCCCACCACCAATAATAGACCATGCTTTTATGACTGACATATGAACAGTGTAACCTCGCTTGAATCCAACACATCTGTAAACATCACAAGTTAAGCATGTTCATCAGTATATATGTGAGTTTTGAAGATGAAATAGTATCTAGAACTCCTTATGGATGCATGAATGTTTGTTTCTTTAAACATTACAAAATGGACTGTTAAATGTTTTTGAGAACAGTAGCAGGATTGCAGTATTCCTTTAAGATAAGTGTTAGGATGACTGTGAGTATTCCTTTAAGAGAAGTGGTCCAATAGCAATATTCCTTTAAGAGAAGTGCTACAATGGCAGTATTCCTTTAAGAGAAATTGTATGATTGCAATATTCATTAAAGAGAAGCGGTATGATGGCAGTATTCCTCTAAGAGAAGTGGTATGATGGCAGTATTCCTTTAAGAGAAGAGATACGATGAAATTATTCCTTGAAGAGGAGTTGTAAAATATCAATATTCCCTTATGAGAAGTGGCAGGATAGCAATATTCCTTTAAGAGAAGCAGCATTCCTTTAAGAGATGGAATAGGACTGCAGTACTGCTTTAAGAGAAACAATAGGATTGTAGTAGTCCTTACAGGGAGTAACATGATGGCAGTATTCCTCTCAGAGAAATAGCAACATTGCCATATCCATTTGAGAGAAACATCAGGATGGCAGTATTCCTTTAACAGAAGTAATTAGGATGGCAGTATTCCTTTAAGACAGCAACAGAATTGTGTACTGGATGGCAGTATTCCTTTCAGAACAGTAACTGAATTGCAGGATTCCTTTAAGAGGAGTACCAGGGTTGCAGTGTCCCTTCAAGAGAAGTCACAACATTGTAGTACTCCTTTAAGAGAAATAACAGGATTGCATTATTCCATAAGATATATAATCAGATTTCCGTTTTCCTTTCAGAAAAGTAACATTTTTGCAGATACCTTTAAAAAAGAAACATGACTACAGTTTCCCTTTAAGAGAAGTCTTCTGGTGACTCCCTCCGTGATATTGCTGGAAAACTGCTAAAAGTGGCATAAAACTAAACTCACTCACTCACTTTAAGAGAAGTGCCAATATTGTAGTACTCCTTTAAGATTAATAAGAGGATTGCATTATTCCAAAAGATATATTATTAAATTGCAGTTTTCCTTTCAGAAAAGTAACATTTTTCTTTAAAAAATAAAAATGACTGCAGTTTCCCTTTAAGAAGCGTACCAAGATTGCAGTCTTCCTTTAAGTGGATACCAAGATTGCAGTTTTCCTTTAAGATCACCGACTCGTAAGACATACAAGAACACTTGTGTTATGTAGCATCGTGAGTCCAAGATGGGGAAACAGCCGGCTATCTAGTTAATGAATCAGTGGGATCGTCATGGTTTTGGCAGGCCTGGTAGCGGCACTGGTGGGAGCAGAGGTGCACCAGCTGGCTTGTGTAACTGCTGGGAGACGGGTACAAAACCAGTCACGCAGGCAGAACACCGACCATTATGACGATGTAATCTACAGCGAAGGTTAGAGGAGTTCCTGCTAAATTACATTAAAGGCTTTTAGGCATGTTTAGAATTTCTTTTCCAGTGGCGTATTCATTATGCTCTTCAGATGTTAAATCTTGTGAATTTGCTAGAAATTCCCAATTTTCAAACCATAACCTCAGTCACTTACAGACGTCTCTACTGCGGCACTGCTAGAGTCAGAAACTCATTGTGTAATAAGCGTTATGAATCAATATACCCAAAACCATCACAGACAAACTTAGTGATTCTGACAAATTCCCTTGACCTTAACCCTTCCCAGGCATCGGAAAAGATCAAACCTTGAATCTAAAAATAGTAGCGGCCAAAACCTGAAGTCTGAGTGATAATATGGCTGACTGGTTCCAACATCATGTTCTATGAAATATCACATTATTTCTAAAATCATTACCATAAAGGTATATAAGGTGCCACAATTTACGGTGCAGAGTTGCATCCCTTGGGCATGTAAGGATCTTACAATCATGAGTTTGAATCCCTGCTTAGTTTCTAGACTTGTCAGCATCATACCATGCTTATGGGTTCAGGGGTGGTGGGGTAGCCTAATGGACCTAGTGGTTAAAGCATTCGATCATCATGCCAAAGTCCTGGTTTCAATGTCCCAAATGGGTACATTGTGTGAAGCCCATATCTGGTGTCCCCCACCGTCATATTGCTGGAATATTGCTAAAAGTGGCATAAAACTTAACTCACTCACTTACTTACAATTATAATGGGATTTCCTCTCATATTAAACTGACACACAGGTTACAAACCCAACTCACTCATTCCATTATTACATCACAAATTACAATTGTAATTCTCATATAAGAAAACAAGTAACAGAGAAAGTGCACAATTCAAGGTAACTTGTAAAGACTAAAGTTCAAAAGTAATAGTTCTGATACCCAGAACCATGGGCAAGGTAACCATTGTAACCAATAACAACCATTGTCCACTGTGACACATATTGCCAAAAGTCAACCATACCATGTCCACAACAAGATCAACATATACCATATACACATCAGCCAGGAAAGAAGAATAAAAACAAAATATACAATGAAAAGCAAAGCGTTTGCAGTTTTTTTTTAAATGTGTCCCCGGTGACATGGATATTCGGACATCTGTCCAATGAGGAGTCTGGAGGGATGCATGGATGCTGATACACATTTTTTACATCACATTGCATGTAATAGAGATCTTCATGGACATGTATTTCTAAGGACACATTGCATGTAATAGAGATCTTCAAGGACATGTATTTCTAAGGACACATTGCATGTAATAGAGATCTTCAAGGACATGTATTTCTAAGGACACATTGCGTGTAATAGAGATCTTCAAGGACATGTATTTCTAAGGACACATTGCATGTAATAGAGATCTTCAAGGACATGTATTTCTAAGGACACATTGCATGTATTTCCTAATGTGTAATAAGATCTTATGTAAATATCTTAATAAGGTCTTCAAGGACATCATGTAATAGAGATCTTCAAGGACATGTATTTCCTAAGGACACATTGCATGTAATAGAGATCTTCAAGGACATGTTTAAGGACACATTGCATGTAATATCTTCAAGGACATGTATTTCCTAATGACACATTGTGTGTAAATCTTCAAGGACATGTATTTCTAATGACACACTGTATTAGAGATCTTCAAGGGCATGTGTCCCCTAAAAACCTTAAAGGTGTTCACATGTTTGTATATGTTTATATTGCATATTAATGCATTAAAATGGATACTGTGTATTATTTGTGAGAGTGAAACCTTTTTCATACTGATCCCCTTATGTACTATATACTACTTACAGCACAACACCTTTTATCAATAGTGACCAATGCTTATGTATTGACAGTAGCTAATTAATGTTTGGGTTGTTTTTTCCAAAAGACAATTTTCAGTTATGATATTTTCAGGATCACAATGAAATTTAGTGAAAACATTTGACAACAGTTTATTTGTTTGTTAATTTGTTTATTTGTTTGTTTGTTGTATGATATGCTGCAGTATGTTCTGAGCATTTGCAAATAGTTCAACTTCGACATACCTCGAGGGTGAGCTTTCCATCAGGGCAGTCCTTCATAAAACCTTTGTACCTGCAAAACCAAAAACACAGATACACAACTGCTCAGTTTACAGTAGAGTTCATTTCGAGAAATTGTCTCAGTGTTGCATGTACTGTAAATCATGAAAATTTTCGCTTCACGATAATTTTGCGAATGGCGACCAACAGATGTTTTTGCGCCATGGTATTTTTGCGGCTTAATACTCAAAAATAAATTACAACTGAAAGTTCTACCTTAAGTAAATCCAATCACATATTAAAGGTTGCCGCTAATCTTGAACTGAGCTCAGTAGAGTACTTCCGTGTGTAGGAATCAGTGATGTTTCCCTAAAAACAACACACGCTGCATAGGCCAGACAAGCTTACAACTAGGGCTGTAACAATGCATCGAACTATCAATGGATCGCAATTGTTGAGTCTCCGATAGCAATTAATCGATGGTAGAAATGAAAAACTATCGATGCATCGATAGTATGTGTGACTATTGATAGTAATTGACATCCGTTGATAAATGCGTAGCGCAAAATACAGGATGTTAGGTGCAGACTTGCAGCTTCATTGAGTTTATGTTTTAACTGTTTACTTTATCTGGGTTTCAAGTTTCTTGTCACTCATTAAAAGAGACGGAAACTACTTCAACTTGTTTTTATTTCATATAAACTATACATTCATTTGGGAAATGACTTCAAATGAGACAATTCACAGAGAGAAAAAACTACTGCAATAGTATTGCAATAGTTGGTCGCAATAGACTATCGCTATCGCAATAGTTGTTTCCCTCTCAGTAGTCACTTACAACTGTGATGAAATATCAGTTCAGTCACTGGTATGCTGAGAAAGTGTTGGTGAACTTGAAAGACTGACTGACTGACTGAGTTTGGTTTTACGCCGCTTTTAGCAATATTCCAGCAATATCACGGCGGGGGTCACCAGAAATGGGCTTAACACATTGTGCCCATGTGGGGATTCGAACCCAGGTCTTCGGGCGTGACGAGCCAACGCTTTAACCACTAGACTACCCCACTTGAACTTGAAAGAAAAATTGTTCATTGTTTACTGCTTTTGACCAGCAAAATGTGTCATGATATTTTTGCGAGCTCAAGTCATTCGCAATTTTCACAAAAATATCATGCTCACAAAAATTACAGGATTGACAGTACTTCAATGTTGGTTCCAACTACAGTATTCAAAGGAAGTTAAGAACACCAAATTCCTATTTGACATGACATATTATCTATAGTAATGTGAATGAATTGGGTGTTCCTTGATCTGTTTTGAGCAGTATATTTCTCAGCAAGGCAAATCAGTGATTGACTGAATGAGAAAAACAACAATATGACTTCAGGTCAAACATTGTCACCTCAATATTCTCATTTAAAATTTCACTTTTTTTACCTAGTTTGCCCTGGGATGCTTATAGAAGTCATATAAGTGGCAGCACTTGTTCGTCTGTTTGACATTCAACGCAGTTCAACATAGCATTCTGCATTACTCTGAGTCAGTTTGGTTTTACGCCGCTTTTAGCAATATTCCAGCAACATCACGGCGGGGACACCAGAAATGGGCTTCACACATTGTGCCCATGTGTGGAATCGAACCCGGGTCTTCGGTGTGACGAGACAACGCTTTAACCATTAGGCTACCCCACCGCCCCTACTCTATCACACAAACAAGGGGTTGATATCATGAGTACAATCACCCATCATTGGTGTAGGATGAAATGCAACCAGTGACGAACACAGGGCCAGACACCCATTCCTATTGGTGACCTTTCACAACCAGTATGGACTGCTGATGGCAATTATATTAGCCCAAATCTTCCATAACCAGAATAATTTTGTTTTAACTTTCATTTCAGAAATTATTTGTAAATTAATGATAAATTGACCTTGATACAATCTGTTCACTTATCTCTTAATCTGACCCAACAAAGAGTTTTACCAGACAGACACATTTATTCTGTAAAGAGGCCATAGGCCTATAATACATGATAAATTACCAAAATATTATCCTGCATGCATTAAGTTAAAGCGTAGGAAGATAATTTTATGGTGAATACTTTAGATAGGTAGAGTCCAGTTTTATATGATACATCTTTGTCAGTAGATTTCAACAAGTGTATGAAGTTAGTAGTAGTTGGGTAGTCTGTAAAGAGAGCTGGTAGATTTCTCTTAGATGAGAGAATTTTTCTCATTTTCAATGTTTTAGCCCAAATCTTCCATAAACAGCTTAATTAAGTTCTAACTTTCTTTTAAAAAATATTTGTCAAATTAATGATAAATTGACCTTGATACAACCTGTCCACTCATCTCTTAATCTGACCTTACAAAGAGTGTTACCTTGACCCACGAACTAAAGGTCAAGGAGACTCCACTAATTAATTTCAAGGGTCTTTATAGTAACTATGAGGGTCCTGCAAAATAATGAAATGGCATAGTGTACTGTACTATAAGATTTGATTAATTTACGTAATTAACAGACCTTTATATTTCTGTTGAGAAGGGTGATGGGGTAGTCTCATGGTTAAGGCATTTGCCAGTCACTCTGAAGACCCAAGTTCAATTCCCCACATGATACAATGTGTGAAGCCCATTTCTGGTGTCCCTCGCCATGATATTGCTGGACTATTGATAAAAGCTTGTAAAACCATACTCACACACTCACTCACTCTTGTCAAGAATTTAGTGTAACAAATATACTGAACATCATTGAAAACACACCACCTGTATTAGTTTGGATTTCCAAGAGCATAAATGAGCAATCGGTGTAAATTTTACATGCTATTGTAGTCCAATGATTGGTAAAGAAAAGACACAAGAACCAATCCAGCAAAACAGTGAAGTTTTAATTCAGCTGACCATGACAGAAAGATGGAGTCAAATTGGAACACCGTTAGCAGCAACACAAGCTGTGCAACGTTTCCTCATTGAACTGATAAGTCTCTGAATAATGTTTGAGGCAATGCATTCCACTCTTGTTGCAAGGCATTCTCAAGTTCCCCAAGGTTGTTGATCTGTGGGTGACGTGAGAGGCGTTGGCTGATGTAATCCCACAAGTGTTCAATGGGAGACAAATCTGGTGACAATGCAGGCCATGGAAGTAGAGGAATGTTGTTGTTTGCCAGAAACTGTGTTGCAACACGTGCAGTGTGCGCTCGAGCATTGTCCTGCTGGAATGTGTGCAGATCTTGATGTTGGTTAAAGAAGGGAACGACGTTGTTCTGAAGAATGGTGTCACGGTAGTAAAGGGCATTCACTCTGCCACGACTAAACTACCAGAGCGGTTTTGTGATGATAACTGATCCCCCCACACACCACAATGCTGCCTCCACCCCACCGATCTGTTTGCACAACACAGTCCTGATGGTAATGTTCTCCCCGTCAACGCCATACCCGTAGACGCCCGTCAGCATTTCGGAGAACACAACACCATGCCAACATCGTAACAACCACCAACGATGCTGTTCAGCCCATCGTCGGCGTTCACGGCGATGTCTATCAGTCAGAATGGGTCCAACATAAGGGCGTTGACACCGTAATCCTCCTGCACGGAGACGGCGTCGGACGGTGGAAGCACTGATCAAACCACGTCGGCCTTGGACAGCATTGGCGGTTCTGGCAGCCGGCAACGTACAATCCCGAATATGGCACCGAACAATGTCTCGATCTTGGCGAGGGGTGGTAACACATGCCTGGCCAGGACGTTGGCGGTCCCTAGTGGTTCCTGTTTGTTGGTACCTGTTGGCAAGTCTTATGATTGTGGAATGATGGCAACCAAATCGTCTGGCAATAATCCTGCTTGATGTGCCAACCTGCAACATGCCCAACGCCCGTTCTCATTCCTCTGGTGACAATCTTGGCATTGCAAAATAACCTTTACTTGCGGAGGTACAGCTGAAATGAGAACGTTTATTTGCCAACAATCATTTATACCCCTAATCAGCATGTTTTACGCATGCAATTTGTGCTTTTCGTGTGTGTGGTGCATGAATTTTGTTGTTGTCATGTGATGTGTTCCAGGATGTGTTCGGGCAATCCATTCTTTACTGTACAGCATTATTTATTGTCTTTTGTCTTTTGTGTTATTAACAACATTTCCAACGTTCATTTTCACTCTCAAAACAATCCTATTACCATATAACAAAATTTACAGGTGGTGCGTTTTCAATGATGTTCAGTTTATTATGTCCTTGGGATTACAATATTGGGTTCTTTTCTGCCTTCACTTTTTTACACTTGTGTGGGTGGGACACAGATTTCTGCATTATGTAAAACCCTTTCTGACTGTAATTTTCTGACAGAAAGCTAAAACAATCCATGCACCAAGACAATTTATCTTCCCAACATTACATCTAATGTTATTACTGACTCAGCAATAGCCACTCTGCAAAACATTTGCCTCTTTCAGAAATTCAAGATATTTTTGTCAACCAAATACTGACAATTTAGTTGGAAATAGAATGGTTCAATCCCATATGGTAAATATAAATTTTCCTGACCTTTTCATGATTTCATTGCGATAGTGAAAGACGTCATACCAAACTTGACATTTACTCAGAAGTAATAAATAATCTATCTAGTTTCATGCAAATAGTATTATCAGATTTGAAATTCAGCAAATAGGAGAATTATGCACATCTTCCTTGTTCTGTTATAAACATGAAAGCATGATCAGGTGACACTGGTAACCATGGATACTAATTTCAAGTTAAACAATTGGCCAAAGTTAAAATTTACTTCTTGTAACCTTAGATTAGAGTAATTCTGTGTCAATATTTGAAAATATCTGATATGTCCATAGGACCTTGCAGCTATAGATTAATCACCTCATTCAAGTGATTCAAATCATTGTTGAGCGCACTTTGGTCCTACATTAAACATGCCATCAAGATATGGGGTTAAAAGCAGTATCAATGAATGAGCATTTTCCATAGAAAAATCTATAGCATATATTTCAAAAGCTGAAATTGATCATATGAGGTATTTAAATTCCAGGAAATTGTATTAGGTGGCTCTAGAGCATCCTGTGGAGGGGATGTCACAAGTCATTAAAATTTGGGCCTTGCTCAGTAGTTTGGATATTTTTGGTTATTAATAACTTCGTCGGAACTGCTATCACCTTGCTCTGCTGATAATTAGGGGCAAAATGGTACACTCCTTCTTACCAGGGTACGATACATATTGCGATACAAAGCCTTTGGTTTGGTCCCTTTATCGCTTCGTATATGAGAACTTACTTCTGAAAAAATAGCAGCCATCTAGCAAAGAAATGCATAGATTTTGACAAAATGATTCGATTTCTAGACATTTTATAAAAGGTTTAAATAGGTTGATAAAATCACGGCACAGTAACTGAAAATACTGATTTTTTGGACTGCATTACGGTATACCAAAGTCAAACTACCACGGTTCTACTAATACCGCAGTATACCACTTCACCCCTACTGATAATCGCACAATTATGTGATGTGACTGCAATTACCTGGTGTGAGGGAGCAACAGAAAGTAAAGAGATAAATAAAAAATATGAATGAGTGGGTGAGTTTAATTTTACGCCGCACTCAGCAATATTCCAGCTATATGGCGGCATCTGTAAATAATCGTCTCTAGACCAGATAATCCAGTGATCAACAGCATGAGCATCGATCTGCGCAATTGGGATATGATGACATCGGTCAAGCAAGTCATCCGACCACCCGATCCCATTAATCGCTTCTTACGACAAGCATGGGTTACCAAATACCAATTCTAACCCTGATCTTCATGATGACTAATATCGGTATATTTTATACTTGATACTTGTTTTCACAGACATAGGCTGTGCTAGTGCAATTGCTGGAATGTTGAGTAAAAACTCACTCACTCGCCCCATAA